AAGTAAATGTTTCCTTGGTATCGTGCACCCGGTGACTTAGCCCCACCTATCTCATGGACCTTGGGAATCTGGTGGGACCCTCGTAACTTTGGAAATGCACCAACCCGTGGAACCGGATTTTGTAACAATTGACTGTTACTTATCTCCTACTATATATTATGAAGTGGAAATCAGTAAAAGCTCTAAGACCAAATAGGCCTTCTTGTGTGCAATGGAGAATATCAGCAGGACAGCAAAGAGTCCACCATTAGAGGCATTGGGTCAGAGTACCGAAACGGAACAGCCAGTACTTGAGGGATGTGGAGGAAGACCACTAACACAGGTCTACTAATACCTGGGAACAAGACACCCAGTTTGATTTGGAAGCGTTTCCTCAGTCTCCTCTCCCCCCAATGATCAGACCATACATTGTAACTTTGTAGAAAGAGGAGGAGGCATTTCCTCAGTCTCCCCTCCCCCCAGTGATCAGACTGTACATTGTAACTTTGTAGAAAGAGGAGGAAGCAATTCCACAGTCTCCCCTCCCCCCAGTGATCAGACTGTACATTGTAACTTTGTAGAAAAGAGGAGGAGGCATTTCCTCAGTCTCCCCTCCCCCAGTGATCAGACTGTACATTGTAACTTTTGTAGAAAGAGGAGGAGGCATTTCCTCAGTCTCCCCTCCCCCAGTGATCAGACAGTACATTGTAACTTTGTAGAAAGTCATAAGGTGAGAGGGCTCCAGCAGGGGCTGATCTGTGTCAGACATTATAAACAATTATCTGCGCATAAAAAGTAATCAAAGCACACTTACTGCACATAAAACTAGTATAAGAATCTCAGTCTGTCTTCAAATCAGCCCCCTGTATGGCTCTGCAGCAGCATTGGGCACTTACCTTGTACCACAGAGGGATCTCCTTCAGCCGCTATCAGTCATTGGGCTAAGGTGGTCACCGACCGTCTGCCGTAGTCCAGAGATTGGCCGGCGACTCTCTTGGAAGAAGTCTGAATACGGAATTTCTGCAAACTTCTGTCTAAGAACGGCATGTGACGCTGAGCCGATTACCGAATGACTGGGAAATGAAAGTCCCCATAACAGTCATCACTTCTCCATTGGACTCTTCTCTATTGTCCTCGTCAATCCAGGAAAGAAGATTATTGAAACAATGTGTTCATTTATAGGATCAATCAATCAATATGTCTATCAATCTATCTATCTATCTATCTATCTATCTATCTATCTATCTATCTATCTATTATCTATTATCTATCTATCTATCTATCTATCTATTATCTATCTATCTATCTATCTATCTATTATCTATCTATCTATTATCTATAACTCTTATCTATTATCTATTATCTATCTATCTATTATCTATCTATTATCTATCTATCTATCTATCTATCTATCTATATCTATCTATCTATCTATCTATCTATCTATCTATCTATCTATCTATCTATCTATCTATCTATCTATCTATCTATCTATCTATCTATCTATCTATCTAATCTATTATCATCTATTATCTATCTATCTATCTATCTATTATCTATCTATCTATCTATCTATCTATCTATTATCTATTATATCATCTATCTATCTATCTATTATCTATCTATCTATCTATCTATTATCTAATCTATCTATCTATCTATCTATTATCTATCTATCTATCTATCTATCTATCTATCTATCTATCTATCTATCTATCTATCTATCTATCTATCTATCTATCTATTATCTATCTATCTATCTATCTATCTATCTATCTATCTATCTATCTATCTATCTATCTATCTATCTATCTATCTATTATCTAAATTCTATCTATCTATCTATCTATCTATCTAAAACATCTTATTATCTATCTATCTATCTATCTATCTATCTATCTATCTATCTATCAAACTCTATCTTATTCTATCTATCTATCTATCTATTATATCTATCTATCTATCTATCTATCTATCTATATCTATCTATCTATCTATCTATCTATCTATCTATCTATATCTATCTATCTATTAAATCTATCTATCTATCTATCTATCTATCTATCTATCTAATTTATCTATCTATCTATCTATCTATCTATCTATCTATATCTATCTAATCTATCTATCTATCTATCTATCTATCTATCTATCTATCTATCTATCTATCTATCTATCTATTATCTATCTATCTATCTATCTATTATTATCTATCTATTATCTATCTATCTATCTATCTATATTATCTATCTATCTATATCTATCTATCTATTTTATCTATCTATCTATCTATCTATCTATCTATCTATTATCTATCTATCTATCTATCTATCTATCTATCTATCTATTATCTATCTATCTATCTATCTATTATCTATCTAATCTATCTATCTATTATCTATCTATCTATTATCTATCTATCTATATCTATCTATTATCTATCTATCTATCTATCTATCTATCTATCTATCTATCTATCTATTATCTATCTATCTATCTATCTATCTATCTATCTATCTATTATCTATCTATTATCTATCTATCTATCTATCTATCTATCTATTAAATCTATCTATCTATCAATCTATCTATCTATCTATTATCTATCAATCTATCTATCTATCTATCTATCTATCTATTATCTATCTATCTATCTATCTATCTATCTATCTATCTATCTATCTATCTATCTATCTATCTATCTATCCCAATTATCTATCTATCTTATCTATCTATCTATCTATATCTATCTCTTCAATACTATCTATCTATCTAATCTATCTATCTATCTATCTATCTATTATCTATCTATCTATCATATCTATCTATCTATCTATCTATTATTTATCTCTCTATCTATTATCTATCTATCTATCTATCTATCTATCTATCTATCTATTATCTATCTTATCTATCTATCTATTCTATCTATCTATTTATCTATTATCTATCTATCTATCTTATCTATCTCTATCTATCTATCTATCTCATATCTATCTATTATCTATCTATCTATCTATAAAATCTATCATATCTATCTATCTATCATATCTATCTATCAATCAATCTATCTATTTCTATCTAAACTATCTATCTATCTTTAATCTATAATCTATCTAATCTATTATCTATCTATCTATTATCTATCTATCTATCTATCTATCTATCTATCTAATCTATCTTATATCTATCTATCTATCATTATCTATCTATCTATCTATCCTCTATCTATCTTATTAATCTATTATCTATCTATTATCTATCTATCTTAATCTATATCTATCTATCACTATCTATCTATCTATCTATCTATCTATCTAACTATTATCTATCTATCTATCTATCTATCTATCTATCTATCTATATCTATCTATCTATCTATCTATCTATCTATCTAACAATCTATCTATCTATTATTCTATCTATCTATCTATCTATTCTATCTATCTCATCTATCTATCTATTATACTACTATCTATCTTATCTATTAATCTATCTATCTATCTACTCTATCTATTATTATCTATCTATTATCTATTAAACTTATAATCTATCTATCTATCTAAAAAGATCTATCTATCATCTATCTATCTATCTATCTATAAATCTATCTATCTACTTCTCTATCTATCTATTATCTATCTATCTATTCTATCATCTATCTAAACTAATCTATCATCTATCTATCTATCTATCTATCTATCTATCTATCTATCTATTCTATCTTTCTATCTATCAATTATCTAATATTATCTTATCTATCCTATCTATCTATCTATCTATCTATCTAACTATCTCCTATCTATCTTTCTATCTATCTATCTATCTATCTATCTATATATCTATCTATCTATTATCTATCTATCTATCTAATACTATTTCTATCTATCTATCTATCTATCTATCCACTCATCTATCTATCTATTACTATCTATTATCTATCTATTAATCTATCTATCTATCTATCTAAATCTATCCTATCTATCTATCTATTATTCTATCTATCTATCTATCTATCTATCTATCTTTATCTATCTATTATCTATCTATCTATCTATTATCTATCTATCATCTCTCTATTATCTATCATCTATCTATCTATTCTATCTATCTATTATCTTATCTATTATTATCTATCTATTAATCTATCTATCTATCTATTATCTATCTATCTATTATCTATCTATTATCTATCTATCTATCTATCTATCTATCTATCTATCTATCTATCTATCTATCTATCTATTATCTATCTATCTATCTATCTATCTATCTATTATCTATCTATCTATTATCTATCTATTATCTAATCTATCTATCTATAATCTATCTATCTATCTATCTATCTATCTATCTATCTATTATCTATCTATCTATCTATCTATCTATTATCTATCTATCATATTTATTATCTATCTATTATCTATTCTATCTATCTATCTATCTATCTGTCTATCTATCTATCTATCTATCTATCTATTATCTTATCTATCTATCTATCTATCTATCTATCAATTATCTATCTATTATCTATCTATCGATCTATCTATCTGGACATGGACATCCAATGTTAGGTCTGCTTTAAACAAATGAATACAATAAGAAAATAAAAAAAAATGCAGCATAACCGTAAATAAAAAGGAACTCTTCAACCTCAATAGTTTCTATTGTCTGAATTTCTGATCACAGACATCATTCACGCTTGATTAGTGGAAGAATTTACTACTTCCTAAAAGTCCCCAATTTATTTATTCATTTATTTCACACTTCTCCAAAATCCTGATGTTGTGAGCGCCCCCCCCAGGTGATGATTTTTGTTAAGGATTCCTCGTATGTACAGAAACGTTCTTTCATCTGAAGGCCACACCAAGTTTGGAGTCTTTAGCTATTGACTCTGCAGACAGTTGGCGACTTCTGCGCACTGTGCGCTTCAGCATGTGCTGACCCCGCCCTGTCATGTGACGTGGCCTACCACTTGGTGGCTGAGTGGCTGTTGTTCCCAGTTTCTTCCACTTTGTTACAATCCCACTAACAGTTGAGCGTGGAATATTTAGTAGCCAGGAAATGTCACGGATGGACTTATTGCCCAGGTGGCCACCTATCACGGGACCACGCTTGGAAGTCACTGAGCTCCTGAGAGCGACCCATTCTTTCACCAATGTTTGTAGAAGCCGTCTGCATGCCTAGGGGCTTGATTGTATACACCTGTGTGCATGGAGGGGATTGAACACCTGAATCACATGATTGGGAGGGGATTGGAGCACCTGAATCACATGATATGGAGGGGATTGGAACACCTCTGAATCACATGAATTGGGAGGGGATTGGAACACCTGAATCACATGATATGGAGGGGGGATTGGAACACCTGAATCACATGGTTGGGAGGGGATTGGAACACCTGAATCACATGATTGGGAGGGGATTTGGAACACCTGAATCACATGATGTGGAGGGTATTGGAGCACCTGAATCACATGATTGGGAGGGATTGGAACACCTGAATCACATGATATGGGGGATTGGAACACAAAAATCGCACCATAATTATATCCCCTGGAATCACATGATTGGAACACCTGAGTCACATGATATGGAGGGGATTGGAACACCTGAATCACATGATTGGAACACACTGAGTCACATGATAATGGAGGGGATTGGAACACCTGAATCACATGATTGGAAACACCTGAGTCACATGATATGGGGGGGGATTGGAACACCTGAATCACATGATTGGAACACCTGAGTCACATGATATGGAGGGGATTGGAACACCTGAATCCAATATATTCCTAGATTGTAAGCTCCCAGGATCAGGCCCTCCTATCCCTCTTGTATTGAACTGTATTGTTGCTGTATTGTCTCCGTTATATTGTACAGCGCTGAGCAAAACTGTTGGCGCCATAAATCCTGTATAATAATAATATAGCGCCAACAATCTTATAGCAACCAATCAGAGAGGGACGGTGCAAAAGGCTTCTGTCAGGCTTGCTGAGAAGCTATCATATACAATTAATCTAGAAAATAAGATCACTGGTATTTACTTGGGAAATAACACAAAATATTATAATATCTATAGAGAATATATATATATATATATATATATTTTTTTTTTTTTTTGCTATATAAAAAAATATATATATATTTAGTATATAGGGTAAATATATATATAGCTAGAAAACATAGTCAACCAATCAGTGAGGGGCAGAGCTTGCATACGACACAGAAGGCTCCCGCCAGTCTTATAAAGCAACTGAATATCATATATAATAATTTTCCAGCTGATAAAAATGTATATATAAAGGAATTAGATGAATCTAGAAAACTAGATCTCTGTGTTGTGTGCTGATTAGCTGAATGCAGGCTCTTGAGGGTTGTCGGTGGTCATGATGCCGAAATGAGCGCACGCTGCAGTACCTCCCTCCCACCACCAGATAGAGCGCGCGCCCCTTCTTATAACACCAGCGGGCGAGCTCTCCCCTTTCCTCTCTGTGGTCACGTCACGTAGCCAAGGGGTTTACGTAGCGCCTTAACGCGGGAAAATTGACGGGGCCGCACGGTGGTGGGCAGAGGTGTGCGGAGATGGCGACTCGCGGGAAGAAGAGGAAGAGAGACGCGGAGGAGGGAGATAAGAAGAAGAAGAAGGGGGAGGGGAGCCGGGCCGGGGACAGGGTCGTCATAGAGCACTGGTGAGACCCGTACACCGCTACAGCCTATGGCGGAGATACTCCGCCGTGTTTTTGGGGCCTCCATACTGGGATGACTGCCTTTTTTTTTTTTTTTCCTTCATATCTTTATTTGTGTCAGTTCTGCTGGCCAGACCAATATATATATACGGGAACTTTTCGTATAGCGAAAAATTTGTAAAACTGAAAACGCGGTTTCCCATAGAAATGCACTGAAAACCAATTAATCCGTTCCGGAGGTCGGAAAGACGGTAAACGGCGCTAAAATACGGCATGAGTTACTTGAACCAGTCACGCGGTATTTCAGTAGTGACAACCATGTGTTGATGTTTCAGTTGTCGGTTCCCCACTGACAGCTGAATGTACAAGAATGGCCGGCAATTAAAAAAAAATAATTTGAGAAAATGGCGTGGGGTCCCCCCCCCTCCCATCCACACCAACCAACCTTGGATCTGGTATGGATTTAGAGGGGAATCCCCATGCCAAGAAAAAAAAAAATGGTGTGGGGGTCCCCCCTCCCATTCATACAAAGCCCTTGGGGTCTGGTATGGATTTAGAGGGGAAGCCCCACGGCAAAAAAAAAATGGTGTGGGGGTCCCCCCTCCCATCCATACAAAGCCCTTGGGGTCTGGTATGGATTTAGAGGGGAAGCCCCATGGCAAAAAAAAAATAATGGTGTGGGGTTCCCCCCCCCCAAAAGCCATACCAGACCCTTATCAGAGCATGCAGGTCAGGAGGGGGGTGGGGTAGATGAGTGAGTCCCCCCCCCCCCCCCCCAGAAAACCGGCACCATAATAAATAAAAACAACGGCGTGGGGCTCCCCCATCCATAACAAGCCCTTGGGGTCTGGTATGGATTTAGAGGGGAAGCCCCACACCAAGGAAAAAAAAATGGTGTGGAGTCCCCCTCAATATCCATACCAGAGCATGCAGCCGGGCAGGTCAGGAGGGAGGGGGGGTGTAGATGAGCGAGCGCCCTTCCCCCCCCCCCCCCCCCGAGGAACCGGCACCATAATAAAACGTGGGATCCCCCTCCCCTCCATAACAAGCCCTTGGGGTCTGATATGGATTTAGTGGCGAAGCCCCACACCAAGAAAAAAAATGGTGTGGGGTCCCCCTCAAAATCCATACCAGACCCTTATCAGAGCACGCAGCCGGGCAGGTCGGGGGGGTTGGGGGTAGACGAGTGAGCCCCCCCCTGGAGAAAACCGGCACCATGATAAATAAAACAATGGCATGGGGTCCCCCCTCTTATTCATACCAACCCCTTGGATCTGGTATGCATTTAGAGGGGAAGCCCCACGCCAGGAGAAAAAAAATGGTGTGGGCCCCCCCTCAAAATCTATACCAGACCCTTATCAGAGCATGCAGCCCAGCAGGAAAGGGGGGGGGGGGGGACAAGGACGAGCGAGTGGGCCCCACGAACCATACCAGGCCAAATGCCCTCAACATGGAGCGGTGCTTTGGGGCAGGTTGCCCCCCCCCCCTCTGCAAAGCACCTCGTCCCCCCAGAGGACCGCTTCCCCACAACCCTGGCTGGTGGTTGTGGGAGTCTGAGAGCAGGGGGCTTTTTGGAATCTAGAAGCCCCCTTTAGCAAGGGGGCCCCTAGATCCCGCC